CCGGGGCCGGGGGCACCCCCAGAGGGATTTCTTCTCCCAACTCCGGGTATAACAGGAAGAATGAAGATAGATAGCCTTTAAGCTGCTGGTGCTACTGTTTTGACATTTCCCATTTTTCTACTTCATTTTTTGGCCCTGTGTGTCATATTTCATTTTCTAATTATTTTTTATTTTTTTATTTTTTTTTAAACCAGAGTGAAGAAAGTATTCAAATTTTAATCAAAGCTAGGAGAAAGCGGTCCTGCGTCGTCTCTGTAATTTAGAGGTTGGCAGTCTCAGGGGAATTTTTGCTTTGGGTTGTGTTTTGATCACTCACTATTGTTTTGGACGGAAAGGACTAGAAACGCTCTTAATGGGCAGACTTAGAATTAAAATAATGATAATCCCAGCGATTGTTTCCCACACACGTATAGTGATCTTGTGGAGCGCTGTGTATACTATGCTTAACCAGGTAGAGACCATTAAAACCCCCATGTAAGAAACCAAGGCTCAGGCAGTTTAAGTGAGTTGCCCAAGGGCACACAGCCGGAGAGTAACCAGGCTTGAACTTGAATGTATGACTCCAAAGTCTGTGTTGGGTTTCTTTTAAGGCTTTTTTTTTTTTTTTAATGTTTATTTATGTTTGAGAGAGACAGTGACAGAGACACAGACAGAGAGAACGCAGGGGAGGGGCAGAGAGAGAGGGAGACACAGAATCTGAAGCAGGCTCCAGGCTCTGAGCTGTCAGCCCAGAGCCCGACGCGGGGCTCGACCTCACAGCCCGCAAGATCCTGACCTGAGCCGACACTTAACCGACTGAGCCATCCAGACGTAACTCCAGAGTATGTGTTTTAAACTCATAAACCAATTTTTTCAGAAATGAAAGACGACCTTCAGGGAAAGGGTCAGTCCAAGTGAAGGACCAGCAATCAAGAGAACCAGCGTCCCCAGGGATGTTCTTGAGGCCCTAAGGGGGAAAAGGAGATGGTTACAGAGGGTGGGGGAGAGGAGAGGGGTCCCCTGGAATCCAGAGGACAGAAGGCGGGGCCTGGCAAGGTCAGGAGGAGACAGGAGTTGCTAGTTCATCTTGATAATTGTCCTGATTTTTTTTTTTTTCAAGAAAAGCCAGAAACCTGGGTTTTTATGTAAACTGCCCCAATTAAAACCTATTGGCAACTAAGTGGAAATGCTTTCAAACCTTCTATGAGCTGTCCCAGGAGGCTCAGGGAGGGTGGAGAACAGGGCAGCGACCTTCCCTGGTGACCAGAAGCTACTCGGTGTCATAGATGCTCCTGGAGGGCCACCCTCCCCACTCTCCTCCCCACAGCCAGGCGGGAAAGGGCCTGAAGAGGCTCTGTCTAGGGGCCGGGCCAAAGGATCCAGTAGGTTGTTCCTGGGCTCCATGCTGAGCCTGCTTGGGAGTCTCTCTCTGCCCCTCCCCCGGCTCGCACAGGCGCATGCTCACTCTCTCCCAATAAATAAATACCCATTTTTAAAATGAGATGCCCAGGCCCCGAGGCTGAGAACCACTCTCTGTGGTTGAAATTTTTCACTCTCCTTCTCTTCATCCCTCCCTCCTGATCCTCCTCTCCCCCTCCTCCCTCCAGCACCCTAGGTAAACATTTATTGGGTCCTTCCCTATTCCAGAAAATCTGATCACTTTAGCTGGTGGCGTCAGACTCCTCCCCAACCAGAAAGAGCTGCTCGTGAGGACTCAGACACATGACGGCTGCCCATGTTACCAGTCACAGAGCTTCCACAATGGTAGAAAATGCAAGAAAAGACACAGATCCCCGTGGACAGCAGTATCTGGGAAAATGGCTAGCCAGCTGTGCGGGTATCACAAAATCACCTTCTTCCTCTCTGCTTCTCCCCCAATCCGTGTGTAGGTCCCAGAGCTGGAGCCACCACTCAGTCCGCCTGTCCCTGAAGTAACCACCCCAGAGCCAGGCATCTACCATGGGATCTGTGAGTATCCTCTCTTGGGATGATGTCCGGTGGAAGGAGGACTGTCAGGGGTTTGGGACAGTCATGGCCACTTGGGGCAGGGATTCCCTAGACGGTTGGGCAGGTTGTACACTGCACAGAGAGGCCAAGCCGTGGATGGAGCCACATCATTTCACAGAAGGGGGTACCTGTCTGCAGTTGGCCTTTTCCGGAAGCGCACTTTTGCATCTTGCATGCAGACACCTTATGTGTTAGTTGTGGCCCTGACCCAGGAGGCTGCAGCGGGAGCCCAGAAAGCATAGACCAAGTAGACGTAAGAGCGAGAAGAGACCCAAGGCATCTGTCGTCCGGTGGGTTGGGCTGTCCCTTCAAACTCATGCACAAAGGAAATCTGCGTCCTCCCTGCTCCAGGTGGGGCGGGAGTGGCAGGAATCCTGGCCCAGGGTCCCAGGTCTTCTGAGAAGTCTGGATTTTTATGTGAAGTCTCCAGACTTTTTAAGCGTTGGTGGACTAATTTTATGCTATTTGTAAATACCGCATGAGCCAAACGGAACGCCTGTGGTATATCCAGCCAGCGGGGTGCCAGTTTGTGGCCTCTGAGCAAACCCCATCGGGGCTTCACTGTGTCTGTTCCCTCTTCTTTTCCCACTCACCCTTCCAGCCAGTTCCTCCCTTACTCTGTGTGCGTCCCACCAGCACCTCTGCTGCGTCCTGGGGAATCTTCAGGCCCAAGGTCCTGGCTGAGCAATCTCCCCCCTGTCCCATTCCCTGTCCCCCATGAAGGAGGCCCTGGCGGTCAGTCCTTTGCAGCCGCACCAGTGGACTCCCTCTTGAGGGAGGGCAGCGAGCAGGACAGGCAGAGGGAGGGGACCGGGCCTCATACACCCGTATCTACGGGTGTCAGCACACGCGGGGAGCGGCAAGGCCCGGGGCAGCGCGTGTGGGAGGACTCAGCTGTGAGCCGTCAGCTCTGCCCTCCGCTGGAGGAAGGAGCCCTGCGGTCCTGGGCTGGGACCCGGCTGTGCCCCCACCGCATCCTCGGCGCCCCCTTCTCAGGGCATTGCTGCCACACCCAGCTCCCCCCCGGAAGCCTGCCCGTGTGCCGAGCGAGAGCCAGCTCTCCCCCCACTCACTGCACAAAGACGAATTCCTCTTAGAAGGGGAAGATGCCTCCCTTTGAATCCCCGCAGATCCTTACATTCCAGAACACTCTCTCAACTGACAGCAGAGAATTTTTTTAGAACCAACCTAGTGCAGGCGAGAGCCCGGTTTGGGGCTTGGTTTTGTCCCCCCCCCGTTCGGGCACCACGCTGAGGCTTTCCTGTTCAGTTCTCATTCCATCCACACAGCCGGATTCAAGTGCGCGAATGACCTCATCTGGCCTAGGTGTCTCCCTCCGGCTCTCTGCCCTGTCTCACTCTCTCTTGTCTTTCTCCCATTCAGACCCTGGCCACCGAAGAGCTTCTGGAAGCTCTGCCTTTACATTCCCGTTCTGCCCGGCAGACCCAGATAAATGAGAGTTTCTGTTCCCATTGAGCCCAACAGCGTTCCAGAATCATGTCTCCTGGGCCTGGCTTGGGTCACGTGCCCATCCATAAACGAATGACCGGGGCTCACCGCAGCGGGGAGGGAGTCGGGGTGTGGGATGCAAAACTCCGTGCAGCCTGGGTCAGAGGCGCATCCCTGAAGCCAGAGGTGAGGGGTCAGCCCCCCAGTGTTCTAGGAGAGGTCAGAATGCCAAAGCCAGAAAAGGAAGGAAGGAAGGCTGGCCAGAAGCAGCCACTGTCCCCTTCATCTGGTGATTTCCCCGAAGATGCTGTCTGTAAATGTCCTTCCTGCCCAACCAGCTTCTGACCTTTCTTGGAAATGTGATTTCAGTGCCTCTGAGAGTTTTGCCCCAGAGTAGAGCTCCGAGCCCTTCTTGCTGTAGGGAAAGTGTGATTTTCCTGCTTCTCTACTTGGTCGGGAGAAGAGCGTCCTGACCAAGCATCCTCTGCCCTCTCGGAGCCCTGCGATTTCTGAGTCTCTCTTCCCCGAACATTTGTGTTTCTCCTGCTGTCTCTAAAATCCTAAGCCCACTTCGCCAGCCTGCGCAAGTGGAGAGAGCTTTGATAACGTGACCCGGGGGGGTGCGCTGGGGTTGGTAAATATGGCCAATCCTATTGATGTTTTGAAAGGGGATATACGACTTGCTAATTTGCAGATGACACTGATTTGGGGCGTTTTGCAAATACCAGCAGTGATGAATAGGAAAGTAGCTGAGAGAGTTGAAATGCGGGAGAGAAACAACAAAATTAATTTCCATTTATATAAATACTAATTGATACACCAGAGGAAAATGAATGTGGAGCGTGGATATTAGCTCAAACAGGAGCGCGGGCGCCTTTGGAGCAACCCCAAATTAGATGTCCGAGTAGCACCTCGTGCCAGGCAAGCCAAGGGGCGCCCGGGGAGAGGCTGGGGAGCCCTGTCTTGTTTGCCTGGGGGCAGGTGGCATTTCTGTCTCACGGTGATCCCCTCATCCAAATCCACTGCGTCCTCCACCTCCGTGCACACTGCCTCTTGGGAGCACAAGTGGGCCTGGGTGGCTCAAGTGTCTGACCCCGGCTTGGGTCATACCCTCGCAGTCCAGGAGTTCAAGCCCCGCGTCAGGCTCTGTGCTGACCGTTCGGAGCCATGAACCTGCTTCAGATTCTGTGTCCTCCTCTCCCTCTGCCCCTCCCCCGCTTGCACTCTGTCTCTCTCTGTCTCTCAAGAATAAATACACATTAAAAAAAAAAAAATCCAAGCCCATCACTCCAGTGGCTTCTCATCTCAGGGAGAAGAAAATCCAGACTTCAGGACGTGAGCCAGCCCCTGCCCCACCTTCTGACCTCCTCTTCCTCCACCGCCCCCCTCGATCACTTGGTCCTAACCACAGATCACAGTGGCTCCTGTCCCAGAGCCAGTGCCCTTGCTGTCCTCTCAGCCTAGAATATTCTTCCAGAAATGCTGAAGAATGGCGGCCTCCCACTCCTCCCCCGGGCCTCAGCCCCACTGTCACTACCTCAGAGAGGTCATTCCCCAGCCATGTCTTATTTCTCTCACAGTACTCATAGCTCTGTGGAAGTATCGTATTTGTCTGTCTGTCACGTGCTTCTTGTCTGTCTTCACCGCGACGGAAGCTTCTAGAGAGATGTGACCCCCGGACCCCCAAGTCCAAGGGCAGGGCTTTGCACATAGCAGATGATCAATAAATATTCATTTACCCTTGGGGCGCCTGGGTGGTGCAGTCGGTTGGGCGTCCGACTTCGGCCAGGTCACGATCTCGCGGTCCGTGGGTTCGAGCCCCGCGTCGGGCTCTGGGCTGATGGCTCAGAGCCTGGAGCCTGTTTCCGATTCTGTGTCTCCCTCTCTCTCTCTGCCCCTCGCCCGTTCATGCTCTGTCTCTCTCTGTCCCAAAAATGGATAAAAACGTTGAAAAAAAAAAATATTCATTTACCCTTAACTGTGAATTTGGTGGCAGGCGATGGGTTTACACTGATTCATTTCCCTGCAGGTATTTAAAAAGTGACACAGAAAACTCTGTTGGCCTTATCTGTTTTCCAGATACTGTTCTAGGCTCTGGGGACACAACAGGGAACACAACCAACAGGGCTCCTCCCCTCAGGGAGCTTCCATCCGAGTGGGGCAGACGAAAAAACACATAAGCAAACAGATGTAGACCACGTGGTCAGACAGCAAGCGCCGTGGCGGAAAACAAAGCGGAGAGTGATGGGGGCGCCTTTGGAGCTCGTGTGGTCGGGGGAGGCCTCTCTGAGGAGATGACATTTGAGCACGGGCTCGCGATGCAAAGGAGCGCGTCGATTAGCTTTTGCTGCGGAACAAACCAACCGAGACTTCGGTGGCTTTCGCGCGACCCCTGTTTATCCGTGAGGGGCTCATAATTCCGTGGCCTGGCTGGGCAGTCCTCCCGTGGGCTGGCTCGGCCGGCCTCTCCTGGGCCTGCTGGTCAGCCGGTAGATGGGCCGGCGGCCGAATGGTCTAGGGCATCTTCGCTCACACGTCCGGCAGCTGGGAGGCTGTTGGCTGGAGGGGCAGGGAGACTGGGTCGGCCCGGCTCCTCCAGGCGGCAGGACGCCCAAGGGATAAGCCCCAGTGCACACGTGTGCTTTCTGTGCCCCCGCTGGCCACGGCAGGTCACATGACCCAGACTCGAGCCGTGCAGAGATAGACCCCCGCTTTCGCACGGGAGGAGCAGCCAAGTCTCGTGGCAAAGGGTCGGTGCTCACGGTGCACGCCGTCGGTGCCGTGAGAAGCTAGGACGTGCCCGTTACCATGCAGGTCACCCGGCTTTGACGTCTGCCGCCAAGATGCCCCGGGGCTGCCTCGGCAGAGAGCAGACGGGATCTGAGGCTGAGTTGCAGCGCGTATGTTGGAAATGACAGGCGGGTAGGAGAGGGAGCGGGGCTCCGGGGAGACTGCGTCGCTTGGCCCCACTTCCCAGCGTGTCCTGCGGACTCCCCGGGCTTCCGCCTCCGCGCCTGAGCTGAGATGGACGGGACGTCCAGGCGGCCTTCCCCCAGCACCACAGCGCGGGCGTCCTGTCAAAGCTGCAGAAGAGTGTGAACCCTCTGAACGTGGCCTCCCCAGAAGGGCGCCAAAAGAGGCTCCACATCCTTCCAGGGTAGGGAGTTCACGGGGCTTGGCCCCGCTCTAACGGGAGACCAGTTAGGAGAGAAGAGCTCCAGCCACATACCTGTTGGGGCCTGACCTTGGTCAGGATTCGTTCGATTTGAGCTATTGGGGCAAACGGATGACTCACCTGGGCCGTATTGCCCCAGGACCCCAGAAGGTCACGTCCAAAGGGTCTCTGATGGAGCCCGGGTGAGGCAGGGGCGAAAGGATAGAGGTGTCATCGTGGGTCGTGGCTCACCCCGAGAGTTAACCCTCCGGCAGGGCAAACGGATGTTTACCAAACGGTCACAAGATCACAGTGGTGGCCAGGGCAGGGAAATGGAAATTCACAGTGACACGGCAGGCTGCGGATGGAGGTTTGACGGGGTCAGGCGGGCTTCTGAAGTGAGTTGGGATCTGAAGGATGCACACCCGTTGACTAGGCTATGTGAGTTCCAGACAGCAATAGCAGCATGTGCAAAGGCCCTGTGACAGGAGACAGGAATGGAAATGTGAGTGACGGACAGTCTGGGTGGAGCCCAGCTCCCTGTTGTAACAGGAGGTTAGACAAGTAGGTAGAAGCCAGATGGCCGAGGCCTGTTGGCCAAGCATCACTCTGGCGGGAAGCCCCGCTACGGTGTTAGGCAACGTGATGGACGAGTGGAGAAAGGATCCAGGGCTATGTGCGGGTTTACACGACACTGGTCCAGTCATCCTGCAGACGCTTCCAGAACATCAGCGGTGTCCCAGGCCTGAGGGCCACTAAGAGGAAAGGTGGAGAGCCCACCCTGAAGGCCCTTTCATCTGAGTCTGGGTTTTCAAGGTGGTAGAACAGAGGCTGAAGGTCATCCCTCTTCCCGTCTCCGTCTGGGAGCCTCCTCCGGAATGTTTGGCGTTCATGGGCCGCTTTTCCTCCTGTTAACAGGCCTTCAGCTGAACTTCACTGCCTCCTGGGGGGACCCGCACTACCTGGGGCTCACAGGCTTGGAAGTGGTGGGCAAGGACGGCCAGGCACTGCCCCTCAGCCTGCACCAGATCTCCGCCTCCCCCAGGGACCTGAACGACCTTCCTGAGTATGCCGATGACTCCCGGACCCTGGACAAGTAAGTGTCCGTAAGAAGCCGCCTGCGGCGACTTCCAGAGCAATCCCCTCCGACCACGAGCAGTGGACCACTTTCAGCCCCCGAGAGGCGGGGTCGCTCACGCTCAGACGTGGAGCTGGTGGGGATCTGTTCTGTCTCTCAGACTCCAGATTCAGACATCAAATAGCGTTCCGTCTTCCACCTTCCTGCCACCCCGTGAGGTGTGGGTCTTCCCAGTTTATTTTACCGTATTTTTTGAGGTTTCCTTATTTATTTTGAGAGGGGGGGAGCGAGAAAGAGAGAATCCCGAGCAGGTTCCGTATCATCGGCGCAGAGCCCGATGCAGGGCTTGATCTTATGAACCATGATATCATGACCTGAGCCGAAATCAAGAGACGGGGAGTCGGGCGCTTAACTGACTGAGCCACCCAGGCGTCCCCACCCAGACTAGTTTTGAGTGGCACAGTCCTCTGAATGGAGGTCCCCGGGGAAACCAACATCCATGCACTTAATTAACCGCTAAGTTCCACTGTCTTCCACTGCCTCCGTGTCCTTATCAGTAGCATGAGGACAATAAATCCCATGGCCGGAGGGCGGGAGGAGGATTGCCACACCCCACCCGCGCCCCCTGTCTGGCCCAGAGGACTCCCCCCTGCTTTGTCTTAAGGGACCCCTTAACCGCGGCCCTCACACCTGCTGTCAGCACCTGCTCACGAACCACGCGGCACTCCGCATCTTGGCAGATCAGACTCCCGCATGCTCAGGCTCGGAGCCCGCGAGCCCAGCTCCTGCTGCAAAAGTGATCAGCCCACGGCCGGCCCTGCTTGTCCATCCACACCCACCCGCCTACCACCCCCGCCTCAGTTTGCGTTACCCCAAACCCCAGGCCCAAGAGCACTTCATCTCTAAATACTTCGGCGTGTAGCTCTAACCAATAAGGACTTTAGGAAGAACATCATCTCACTACCACCATTACACCCCCCAAAATTCAAATTAACACCGATTCCCTAAATGAGTAGGGTATCTAGCAAGTGCCTATTTCCCTGGACAGTCTCTTCACCTTCCTTTTTTAACAGTTTGTTTCTCGAATTGAGGTCCAGGTAAGGGTCCACACATTCTGACGGGTTGTTTTGAGATTTCCCATAAGTTCCACCCATTGTGATTGGTTGGTTTGGGATCCAGATAAAGTCCATACATTGTGATTCTTTGTTATGTCACTTTTCTTCTTTTTAAATGTTGGTTGATTGATTGATTGGTTGGTTGATTTTTTGAGAGAGAGAGACAGAGCACGAGTTGGAGAAGGGCAGAGAGAGGGGGAGACACAGAATCTGAAGCAGGTTCCGGGTCTGAGCTGTCAGCACAGAGCCTGACTTGGGCTCAAACTCATGAACCACGAGACCATGACCTGAGCCAAAGTTGGACACAACCAACTAAGCCACCCAGGTGCCCCTGTTAAGTCTCTTAAGCCTCTTATAATCTCTAGGTTCCCTCCCATCTTTTTTCACCTTTTCTTCGAAATTATCTGTTAAAGAAAGGGTCCCCCCCCCCCCGTAGTGTCAGGATTTTACTGGTTGTATCTCTATGGTGTTGTTTAACCTGTTCCTCAGGCCCCTGTATTTCCTGTAAATTGTTCATTAGATCTAGACGCCTCATCCGATTGAAGTTTGACCACCGGGGCAAGACGTGACCATGGGGGTGTCGATGTCACTGGGCATTCCCTTCAGGACATATAGAATGTCTGCTTGTCAGGGTTCTTGCGACATTGGCGGTCAATGCTCAGTGGGCACACCCATTACTATATTAGGGGTTTGGGTGCAGGATGGTGGTCCACCGATCCTATCATTCTTTTTCTCATCAATAAAGAGAAATTTTTCTTCAATGATATGGTTACTCTGAGGTATAAGTCAAATAGGAAAGGCAGTCTGAATGCTTGGTTCTTTCCCTTTATTTTTCAGCTTTCAGAATAAAAAGGTGTTTCTCTCGCATACTAAAACATTTGTGTTTGGGGGGCACCTAGGTGGCTCAGTTGGTTAAGCATCCGACTCTTGATCTCAGCTCAGGTCTTGATCTCAGGGTCGTGAGTTCAAGCCCCACATTGAGCTCCATGCTGGGTGTGAAGTCTACTTAAAAAAAAAAAAAAACTTTGTGTCTGACGATCATAAATCATGAACTTACACAGACTGTGTTTGAAGGTTTTCAATTTATTGCAGTTTTTATCTTATTGATGCTCTTAGATACTGAGAGCTCCTGGATCCTTTTTTTTTTTTTTTTAAGTTTTGTTAACATTTATTTCTTCTTGAGAGACAGAGCACAAGCAGGGAAGGGGCAGAGAGGGGGGGTACACAGAATCCGAAGCAGGCTCCAGGCTCCCAGCTGTCAGCACAGAGCCCGATGCAGGGCTCGAACTCACAAGCCGCGAGATCATGACCTGAGCTGAAGTCGGATGCTCAACCGCCTGAGCCACCCAGGTGCCCCCTGCACCCTTTTTTAAAAATAGGAGTCTGTGACAGCTTTCCTGCTTTCTGATGTGACAAGATATTCCAGGCTCCCCTTGTATATTTCTGATCCCAGATGTGGAATTGACCATTTTCCCCAAGAATTTCTGGTTCCTTCTATTGGGAAATGGTATTTAGAGACCATAATCTAGCCACGAGAGATGCTCATTGCTACTGGGTTTCTGTGGAACCAGTTTCTGTAGAAACCAGTTTCTAGGTGTTTCTGTGAACAGAGCTGGGAAGTATCGTTTAGATATTCTTGAAGGGGTCTGTAGGGGCTTGCCTTCACTGTCAACTGTAAACCCTTCAACAACTCTCTCTACTTTCAGAATTAAGCAGCAGTTTTGCTATGGAGGCAGCCCCATCTCTAGGACAGAGAAGCAATTGCTTTTAGAAGGAAACAGAAGGTTCTCTGGTCAGCCTAATTCCGCAAACACCTCCGTTTGAAATTGCTGAATTTCCTCAGTTTTAAGATGCCAGCGGTTGTAAGACATGCCATCCATCAATTTAATAACCGCCTTTTAGAGAAAAAAAGAAACATTACCTCCTTGGATGAACACTTAGATTGTAAGATTTATTCCAAATCCAGAACTTTAAAATGTAAAAGGAAAACATAAAGTTTTATTTTAAAATCTAGGAATGTCTCCCAGGGCAGCAGCCTCGAAGTCACCAGGAATATAAGAGGGAGAGGAGAGAGGGTTCCCCGAGAAGCTGAGAGTTGGGCCCCCGTTCCTGGGGCCAGGCCACTCAGTGGCAATGCCAGGCACAGGCCGGAGCCACAGGATGACGGCCTGGGGTCTGGGCTGCGGTGTGCTGGGCAGTCCAGGGCAGTCAGTGGCAGGATGGTCTCTGGGACAAACACAGGCAAAGTTGAGAACGATGAGGCAGGATGTTCTGAGCAGGAAAACGAGAAACCGGCCGGGATGGGAGTACAATCCGGGCAAGGTAACCAGTTGATTCAGAATTGTGGCCAAGAAGCACATAAAGGCTCCAGGGGCTCCCTCCTAAGGCCACAGGTCGGCCCCTTCTTGTGCTTTTCCCTCACCGAGAGCTGCCAAGTTCACCCTGGTGCCTTAGTATGTCTCTCCCCAGCCCAAGAAAGAACGAATCAAATTATTTCAAAATGGGCCATAGAGCCACCACAGCATTTCGCAAAAAGTTTGGAAAAATAGACAAAGGCAGCCACCTCCCATCCCCCTGACACAAATGTGTGCTTCACTTCTGCATAATCTCTCCTGGTCCCCGTCCCCATTGTCCAGCATTAAAATCCGTGCCCGTGGCCGCCTCTTCTGCGTCACTGCATCATCCTCACGATTATCGTTTTAACAAGTGTACAGATTTACGTGACCCTTTGTGTTTTGAGACCTCTTAGGGTTTTTGTGGTCGTTGGTTTTTTTTGTGTGGTTTGTAAATAAACAACACTATGATGAATATCTTCGTGCAGATAGCCCTTCAGGCAGGTTGAACAAAATTTCCTTAGAGGAGAACAGTTCCAGAAATGGAATCCCTGAGTTAAAGGGTCCAGAGAGATGACACATTCTCCCCTTTTATTTTAAACTTTGGTGGCAGGGCTCCTGAGCGGCTCAGTCAGTGAAGCATCCGACTTTGACTCAGGTCCTGATCTCGTGGTTTGTGGGTTCAAGCCCCGCGTCGGGCTCTGTGCGGACAGCTCAGAGCCTGGAGCCTGCTTTGGATGCTGTGTCTCCTGCTCTCTCTCTCTCTCTCTCCCCCTCCTCCCCCACCTGACTCTCAAAAATAAATAAACGTTAAAAAAGATTAAAAAGAAAAAAACCTTGATGACTGGTTCGCCCCACCTTTAACAGCACCGACTGTTATCACTGTGCACAGCCAGGCTGGTGCAGTGGGTACAGGAGGCTGGGGGGGGTGGTGGGGGGACATGTAGACCCCCGCTCTGATTTCTCCCAGAAGACACGGCCAAGCCCCACCTCACCGCTCTCCCCACTATTCGCAGGTTAATCGATGGAGCCAACATCACGATGGAGGATGAGCATATGTGGCTGATCCCTTTCTCACCGGGCCTGGACCACGTGGTCACGATCCGCTTCGACAGAGCCGAAAGCATCGCAGGCCTGCGCTTCTGGAACTACAATAAATCTCCCGAGGACACCTATCGCGGGGTAAGCTGGGGAATAGCAGCCGCGCTCAGTCCACTGTCAGGGAAACGGCGCCTTGATGAATGGCTGGTGTGGCTGCCAGAGAGGAGCATAAATCTTCCAGAACTTTCCAAATGGAGCTGGGGGCGGGGGGGTGGGTTACAGCCAGGGAGAGAACACACTGCCATTGGCCTCTTCTGCAAAGCGCAAATATGGGCTAAAGAGGCCAGGGCAGACTCGGGACACTTTGTTTCTTCTGAGGGCTCGGGGGTTCCCAGCAGGCCCAGGCCCCAACCGTAATGGTAGACTGAGGCCTGCCGGTTCATTGAGGGTTGGGGGCCGGGCCCTGAGCTGAGGGTTTTGTACCCGTTCATTTCATGGGGCCCTCGCCCCAGCCTCTGGGAGGCCGGTGTCAGTACCCCCCATCTTCCAGGGTATTAGACTGAGTGAGGTTCAGGACGGTGCATCCACGCATCCAGGGTCACACAGCTGGAGCCCCCAGTCCACGTCTGCTGGGCTTGGGGCTCACACTCCGGTTCCACACCGGGTTCTCCTGCTGGGTGTGAAAAAGCAGGGGCCTCTGCTGCAGTGTGGGCTTTTCTGTCCTCCTGTGACTATGGACTGTGACACGTTTGTCCCCTCCCACTGCAACACAGAGCTGATGGTGAGAAGGCCACCGAAAATACAGCAACGCAGTCAGGGCCCGAAAGTCACAAGCCCCCGGTCTGAAACCCAGCTCTGACCCTAACCAGCTGTGTGATCTTTGCAAGTGGCCTGCTTTCCCTGAGCCTCAGTTTCCCCATCTATAAAGCGAGGAGGCGGATGCTACCTGCCTTGGGAGAGTACCCATCATCCTCTGCCACACGAAGGTTGACCACGCCAGGCCTCGGCCTCGGGTCCCGTGAGCCCCACGTGTGGCACCCCACCACGCACCTGCCACGGAGTTACTTCCGGGGGCCCCTGGGGCAGTACCGTGGGGGGTCGCCACGGTGGAGTCAGCAGCCCTCAGGCGCTCGCCTTCTGGAGCAGCACGCTGTTCACAAATCCTCCCAGGCCACGCCAGCGGCTCCCTGAGCACGCTCTCAGCTTCATCGGGTTTAAAAAGTCAGATATATAGGCGTTAAAAAAACATTCTTCTGGCTCAACTCGTGCCTCTGGGCCTTTACGTTCCCTCGAGTGAATCAGTCTGTCCTGTCGAGCCTCCATGACCCGGATTTGCCACCTGGAAATGCTGGGCCCAGAGCCCCTGCTTCCCAGGCCTGGCCGTGGCCACCAGCCTCATTGCCGGTGACAAGTGGCCACCATGGACTGGAGAGAGGGGCACAATCTGAAAGGGTAGATCCCAGAGGGCAGTGTGATGGCAACCGTGTCCTCCCCAGGAAAATGCTTCGGCCGCCGGTGTCCCCCAAGGCCCTCTGGGCGCTCCGGTTACAGGCCCCTGGCACGTGGTTAGAACCAGGCCTTGCACGCTGGGGCTGGGGCTTAAGGTCCCTGCAGTGTGTCCTCAGGCGAATTGCTTAGCCTCTCTGAACTCCTAATTTCCTTGGCTGTAAGACGAGGTGATAGGAGAAGTCCCATCCAAGGGAATAAACAGAGGCCTGGGGAAGTCAGGGACACCTCGTAGTGGAGGTGGTGGCCCTGGAGGAGGGACAGGGCCTTCCTGGGCCTCTGCTCTGCTCTGTCGCCAGCCTCCTGCCAGCTCCTAGCCCAACTGAAGAAGGAACCCTCTTTGGAGGCGAGCCGGCAGAACCCCGGGAGTCATGCCGGCCATTCTGGTCTAGGTCCACGTCCCTGGACCAGTCGTGTGACCAGCGGGTTACAGTACGTCCGGGTCCAGGGTCTGAATCAGCTGGGAGCAAGGCGAAGTGGGGAGATGCAGTCACAGTCTAGGGTCCCCACATCCAGCCATACCTGAAGCCACTTACCCTACACTCTTCCTGCTTACGTGCCCTGTGACCGGCTGCCATGAGGGGGCTCCCTGAATGCCAAAGGGATGAAGGGCCCCCGGGGCACATGAGTTATCCCTGAGACCCAGGGCAGGGCCCCTTTCTTTCCGCACAGCCCCTCTGCGTCCCCTGGAGGTGAGAATCTACCCGTTTGGTCTGCAGTTGGGCCCACGTTCCTCACCAGGACGACGCAAGCAGGCCTGATTCCAAAATGTGTGGTCGACTACCCCTCTCTGCTCACCCAGCACCCCCCTGCCCAAGGGGAGCAGACCCGAGCCACCTCAGACCCTGCCCTTCAGGCTTGGAGATTCACTGGTAGATCCTGGCCACCTGGCTGGTGAAATCCGTCCTAGAACGGGGGACACGTTGGCCCAAATGCACCCCATTCAGCAAGCTGGTAAGCGCCCACTTATGCACCAGGCCCTGAAGCAGGTATAGGGGCCTCGCCAGGGTCTCTGCCGCGGAGGGAGACCCAGAAGCCGCTCAGGACGCTGAGTACACGTCCTAAAAGGGAGTACACGTCCTAAAAGGATGAGCTAAGGGGGCGCCTGGGGGGCTCAGTCGGTTAAGCGTCCGACTTCAGCTCAGGCCACGATCTCTTGGTTCGTGAGTTCAAGCCCCACATCAGGCTTGCTGCTGTCAGCACAGAGCCTGCTTCAGATCCTCTGTCCCTACCCCCACCCCTGCCCCTTCCCTGCTCACACTCTCTCTCTCTCTCTCTCTCAAAATAATAAACATCACATAAAAAAAAAAAACAAAAACAAAAACAAAAAAAACGAGCTAAGGGCCATGAGAAGGAAGATCAGGAAGGGGCTCACTCTGTCCTGGGGACAGCGTAGGAGAAGTGGTGGTCTGTGAGGCGGGGCTTGAAGAAGGATCAGGGTAGGCCAACACCTACCGAGTACATCGCTTTTTCCCGGCACTGCATTCTGCGTATTTTACGCAAGTTCACTCTTTATCGAGCCCACTTAACAGAGGAGGCAGTTGAGGCATAGGGAGTTTAAGTCACTCGCACAGGTGCTAACGGCCGATGTCGGGGCACCTGAGTGCCCGTGACCACCGTGCTGCTCTGCAGCGGGTGAGGTGGGTGGGGACCCGGGCCGGGTCAGGCGCCACCCCAACTCGTGGGCCACCCTCGTCCCCTGCCGTCTGCCCAGTGCCCAGTACAGCACCTGGCACGGAGTGGGGGTGGCACCAGAAAGTGGCCCGGCCCGGTGCTTCTGGCCTCAGAGGGAGGCCAGGCCGGGCTGTTTGTCCGGCGTGGGGGCTCCGTGAAGGCCGTCCGTCACACACACGGCACGCGAGCACGCGGCTTTCTTTTGTTTGCTAGGCCAAAATCGTCCACATCTCCCTGGACGGCCTGGGCATCTCCCCTCCAGAGGGCTTCCTCATCCGGAAGGGGCCGGGCAACTGCCACTTTGATTTCGCTCAAGAAATTCTCTTTGTGGACCACCTCCGGGCTCGACAGCTGCCCCAGCCGGCCCAGAGGTGAGTGGGGGAAGGCCCGGCAGTGTCCCCTCCCTGTCCTCAGGGCTGCCGGCTCCCCGCATCGCTCTGAAGTTTATACCTAAAGGTTCTGAAACGATGATCAAACGCGTTGCTTTTCAACTTGGCGGTTTTCTAAAGCTCAGCCGAGCCTCTCCGGAAGCCTGTGGGATGTACCCACCTTGTCTAGGGATGTTTGGGTTTCTCACAGTCTGGAGTGCTGGAGATTTTAAATGCTTCGTTGCACTTCCTGCTGGGAAAAGAGGTTCCAGCCTGCCTCCGTTCCAGAAATGCCCGCCGGCCAATTTGGGGAAGGGCCTTCTCTCTCTCTCTCTCTCTCTCTCTCTCTCTCTCTCTCTCGCTTGTTTCTCAGTTCCCAGTTTAGAAAGATTCAAAGACAAAATGAGAGCCTAACATTTTGTGGGTTCGCTGGTATTTCTTGGCCCCGGTCTCAGCTGCATTAGGCCCGTAACAATTTGTAAATGCCACGTTCAGTTAACTCATTTAAACCCCCTGATGTCCAAATGCCAGAGGCCAAGCTCACAAAACAAAATGAGTTTCCCTCCGCTGTGGCTGGGATCACTTGTTGGGCCGGTCATTGGGAACAGCCACTTAATTATAACACTGAAGAAGTGTTGAAGAAAACCAGCAAGGCTGGAGGGTACTGGCTGTGGACCGGGAGAAACGCCCCAGCCCCTTCCAAGTGCCGGCTCTGTTCTGATGCTTTGTATTCAGGCGTCGGGTCCCTGACCACCCCCTAGGGTAGCCGGTCCCAGCCGGGCACTCCACCCCACCCTGGGTCTGGCCCAGCTGTCAGCACAGTGTGGACTCGCCTTGTTCGTGAACAGGCAGTGAGGCGGGGCTTGAAGGAGGATCAGGGCAGGCCGACACCTACTGAGCACATCCCTGAGCTGGGTGGTTAAGTGTGGACTCCGGAACCGGCCAACCTCAGGTCACATCCCACTTTGGCCGCCTGCCAGCTGTGTGGCCCTGAGCGAGTGACTTCACTTCTCCGTGTGCCAGTTTCCTCACCCGCACCCCAGGGCTGTAAGAGTACCCACCTCCTGGGGCTGTCCTGGGGAAGGAAGTGTCCATGCAGTCGCCTGGGAGGTGACTGAGTCTCCCGGAGTAGGACAGGACTCCACGTGGGCACACACTACACCGGGGAAACCTCTCCGGCCACAGCGTCTTCAAAGTCTGTCACCTGGGGAGTAAGTGGCCGGCGATCAGGGTAGTTGCAATCTCCTGCTTCCTGGTGCTGTTTTGTGGGTTTTTTTCAGGCTCAACACGCAAAGCCAAGAGCGGGCAAGCATGGACTACGAGGCACCCCTGATGCCCTGCGGCTGTATCCTCCCGCCACCTGTCTGCGTGTCCCAAGCCCTCAGGGGCCCTGTCCGGAACCCCAGGAGAGGGCTCGGCCCCTCTGGCAACGTTGGGGTTCCCGGCAGGCCGCAGCCCAGGAGCTGGAGCCCCATGCAGGGAAACCCGGGGGACCGTGGGAGGGTTGGCCGGTCCGCGGGCTCACTGGGTGCTGCTGGGGCGGGGGCAGCCACCCGAGTTCCAGATGCCGCGCCCTGGCCGGCTGATGTTTCAGGAAGCAGCACCCAGGACTCCAGCGGGGAGGGGCCAGAGAAGCTGGAACTTTCCGCAGGGCCTGAACTGGAGGCTGTCCTCGGACCCAGGCAGGGAGGAAGTAAAGATAGAAGTAAGGATAGCTCAAAGTCGCCGGACCCTTTCCTCGGCCTGGCCCTGTTCACACTGGGCTGCCTGTGTTAACTCAGGCCTCACCCCAGCCCTGGGCGGTGGAGCTGCTAACACCCCCCATTTCACAGATGAGAAAACTGAGGCCCAGAGAGGCTAAGTAGCTTGCCCGAGGCCACATAGCTGGGAAGGAGTAAGACAGGTTAGTGAATGTGAGCAGCCTGGCTCTCTCACCAGTCCGTTCTTCCGGAAGGTCTGCCTGTGGCTATGATATTGCCCGGAAGCCGCCACTCTGATTTCCTGCCCTGTCCGCCCCTGGAATGCTGGGAGCAGTCTGGGGACAGGGCTGAGGGCAGGCTTGGTGCCCCCATTGTGCGACTCAGTCAGCAACGGCGGGTCGGTCACCCTGCCACGGCCCATCCCTCCTGGTGCTCATGTATCCCCCCCACCCCCACCCCCTGCACACTTGAAGTGGATGGAGGAGAGAACAGGTGCTTCGTTCTTTGTCATTTTACAACCAGGGAAGTTGAGGCACGAGACAGTTTGACTCCCGGTCACTTTGTTCGGCACGACCACACGATGAGTTTCTGGTGCAAATGGTCCTCCGTCCTGCCAGCTCTCTCCCTCCTGTCCTCCTGTCTCCTGGGACGTGGAGGGAAGTTTTTAATTCTTGAAACACATGCATACGCGGCTTCCATCAAAGAAAATTTAATGCCACACATATTTGGATAGGTTTCAGTCTCCGTGCGAGAACAAAATGATTTCCCCCCCCCCCTTCACCTGCATAAGCTATCCCAATATGATCTTTGCCATTGTCTTGCTTTGTTCTCAGAAAATTAAGCCTATTTTTCCTTAATAATGTGCCACAGTCATTTTTCAGTTCCAGCTCCTGACCAGCTGGGGTGACCCCTATTACATCGGTCTTACGGGCCTGGAGCTGTATGATGAGCGGGGAGAAAAAATCCCTCTGTCGGAAAACAGTATCCTTTCTAAGCAGAAGGGGGACCCCACCCTGACCAAAGGGAACGTGGGAGGGTCCGGGGCAGGAGAGGAGACGTCCCTGCAAGAACCAGACCCCGGGACTGAAAATGCCAGGGGACTCTGCTGACGGTCAGAGGCTGACTCTTGGGAGTCCCAAGGTAACAGGAGTCCCACAAAACAGAGAGCCCTGTGGCCCGGGGATTCGGGCGACGGTACCAACTGCACCCCCTCCTGGAGATCCACAGGTACTTTGGAGTCCCAAAGGCTCTGGCAAGGCCTGCAGGGAGCAGCCTGTGGGCCTGTGTTCAGCCCAGTGAATTCATTGACCATGGTCCTCTTTGTTCAGGGAACGCCCGCACCAGAACCTGCAAACTATTAGCCCACTGAGTTTTTAAATATTTTAGATTCGTTGCTAGTGTTCTGGAAAGATCAGGGCGTTTCACAGGAACACCTCACTCTTCAGCAGCTCTTGAAAAAATTAGCAATGTTTGAGGCCACAGTCATGCACCACGATGATGGCTGGACCTCGGTATCCCCTTTCCCCCAAGCATGTCCTTATATTTTCCTGCCAGGTCCCCCAGACAAATTGCTAATGTTTACTGAGGGCTCATTCGGTGAGGGCTTGTCCCGTGGTACCTGATTTGCCCTCACAACGGTCTCGTGAAGTGAGTGCTGTTAGCCCCATTTTACCAATGAAGACCTGAGACACAGAGAGGTTAAGTAACTTGCCCAAGGTCACACAGCATAGGAGTGAGGACCTGGGAGTCCGGCTCCAGAAACCATGCTCTGACCACTGAGCTGTCATGTGTCTTTGACATCACCTGCCTGGCCCCTCTGGGCCTTTACCCTGTGATCCCTGGCCCACCACAGGGACCGGCCAGAGCAGCTCCGACCCCAAAGCCTGCCTTGCACCTATGTGGGATTCCCTGGGTTCCAGTTGGATCCTTTTCTGATCCAACTTTTCTGCCCTTCCCGCGGTGACACCATCCTCCCCACCTGACAAATGATTGTTGGTGGTTTTGATTGTTGTTAGTGAGTCCTTGGATATGTAAGGCTGTGTTGATTTTACCGGGCACGCTCACATCCAGTGTCCTCTGAGAGCCTCACATCAATTCTGGGATGTGGAGGTTTTTAATTTTTTTTTAACGTTTACTTATTTTTGAGAGAGAGAGCGAGAGAGTGCAAGTGGGGCAGGGACAGAGAGAGAGGGAGACAGAATCCAAAGCAGGCTCCAGGCTCTGAGCCGTCGGCACAGAGCCCGACGCTGGGCTCGAACCCACGAACCGTGAGATCGTGACCTGAGCCGAAGTCGGCCGCTTAACCGACTGACCACCCAGGCGCCCCGGACGTGGAGGTTTTTATACCCATTTTACAGATGAGGAAACAGGCCCCAAGGTGCTCTGTGACTTTCCCAAGACCCCAGGTCAGAATGCAGAGCCAGCACCGGACCTGGTTTGTCCAGATCCGCGCTAATGTCCGGTATTTGAGGGGCCATAGCTGGGCCCGGCTCCCCCACCCGGTGCGTCCAGTCTCAGGCTGGTCCTCACATGCCGAGGCCGTGTCCCCTTGGAAAGGAACACCTTAGCAGTTTGTCCTCCACTCTCCAAAGCGTCAGCCACAGATTCTGTTCCTGCCGCCAGCAGTCCGGTGAGACCGCTCTTTCCCCGCCATCTGTCTGCGCGGCTCCTCCCCTTTCCTTGAAACTGGTCACCTCCTCCCCACACACCCACCCCTGTTGGCCTCTGTGCTCATTTTCCCTGGCATGTCTAACTTGGCTGTCGCTCTTCCGGCTGCCCAGGGCAGCGGACGGCCATTCTGCCCGCCAGCCCCAGCGTCCCCTGGGCCACGCCATCAGCGTGACGAGGCCAGCGGCCGCCAGGGTGGCACGCAGCTGCCAGCACACTGCTTTGGGTTATGGCAGCTTAGAGGCTCCCCAGATATCGCCGCCTTCCCCGACAGCGTGAACTCCCTGGAGGGCGTGTGCGGGGACGTCCGGACGCCCGACAAGCTCATCGACCAAGTGAACGACACCTGCGATGGCAGGCACATGTGGCTGGCTCCCATCCTGCCGGGCCTGGTGGGTTTTCGGGGACTCCCCGCCCCGGGGTGGGCAGGGCGACTTTGTGTCCTTGGTCTCCGTGACGTGTCTTTGTTCCAGGCGAGTGAATCTCCAACGAACCAAAATGCCCGAGGGCCGTCAGGGAGGCTCACGTCTAGCTAACTAACACTCTGACGGGCACTCTTCGGGGCAAGTTCTTTCTCGGTGCGCTTGGGGTGGTTGCAACAAGAGGCCGCCCACATGGGACTCTGGAGGGCCCGTGCAGCAGCCCCCTCTGTCCTCCCAGCCCCATCCTCTGGCCTCATTCCCTGTGTCCGCCCCGCCTTGAGAGCACCGGGCACCGGACCCCGACCTCTGGCCCCAGTCTGCCTGTCAGCTCTTCAGCGGACTCAGTTTTGCAGACCTCAGACCCTCCCACTGGTCCTGCTGGTCACCGGGGGACCTGGGGGTGGCCTTCACCCACCCGGCTAGAGAGAGAGGAGACAGGCCGGCCGGGCAGGTCGTTGTAGCCCCGCGCCACCCTCATGCCTAAGTATGCGAGTGCCGCAGGCCCTGGGGCACGCCTGTGACGGCGGAAGTGTCCCCTCCCCCTCCACGTGACTGGGCAGGAGGACTGGGAGGTACATTTGGCCCTCAGAGCACAGAGACAGCATCAGCAGCTCTGTTGGGGAGCTCTTCCAACAGTGTCCCCCGTGAGCCCCGAGCATCCGTCCCCCCTGAGCGGAGGCCAGCCCCACCGCTGCAGAGGAGAAACACGTAGGTCTCTCGGCCCTGAGACCCGGGCCCCACCCGCCCACGGCCATCTGGTGTTTGGCCAGCACGTGTTTTCCCGTCGTCTTTCACTTGGCTTTTGGTGTGAAGTCGTCTGTCCAGCTGTCACTCTCCCAGCTGGACTCGAATGTTTGTTTGTTGTTGTTGTTACTGTTGTTGTTGAGAGAGTACAAGCTGGGGAGGGGCCGAGAGAGAGGGGGACAGAGGATCTGAAGCGAGCTCGGTGCTGAGGGCAGAGACCGACTCGGGGCTTGAACTCACGAACCCTGAGATCATGCCCTGAGTCGAAGCCGGACACTCAACCGACTGAACCACCCAGGTGCCCTTGGACTCAAATATTCGTATCTGCTTGAGCCCCTTGGGCAACTGAGTTTGAGGACCTTTATTATTTCCGTGGTGCAGTCAGAAGGCTGCCCCTGCCCCAGCAGTACCCTGACCCGCCCCCCTGCACTCCCGACATCCTCTGAGACATTCTGAGGATGGCCGGAGGCCGAGCCCCAGAGCCTGGGGCAAAACGGAGCCTGCAGCCTGCAGCCTGGGGCCAGCACTGACTGCTTATTGCTTTATTCTGTCGTGCAAGGGGCCCCCTGATATTGGAGAGTCTTGGTGGGGGCGGTGGGGGCGGGCGGGGGTGGGGGAAGCCGAGGGTCTGACCTTAGTAGCTGATTCTGCCACTGATCCTGACACCCCTCCACCACCCCTGCGCCAGGCAGAGATTCAAAGACACATGCTGGAAATTATCCCACACTGCTCTCAGGGCCTGCGCCGTGCTGCTCATTTGTGGTTGGGGGAAAGGACAGATCGGGGTCAAGGCCGTGCTGATCCCCGGAGACAGTGCTCCTTGACCTGGGGCCCGCCCCCTTGGCCCGCGAAGCGTCTGGCCTGACCTGGGGGAGAGGGAAGGGCGCACCCAATTCTCCGCGGGTATTTAGATGAGGGCCACGCCAGGCCCGAGAAAACAGGCCCTCCCGGAGCCAGCTCAGCGGTTTGTTGCAAACGCAGCCACACGTGACCGGACTCAAGATGGGCTTCCAGGAGACAGAAGGCAGCGGGAGCCCCACGCACCGCGGCCCCCAGCAGCCCAGGCACTGCCTCCCGCGCCCGCCCGGCTCACCCCTGCCCGCGTCTGGCGCCCCCCGCCCCGCCCCGCGCCTCTGTTTCCAAACATGCCCGTTTTAATGAGTTCTTGCCTCTGACAGGTGAACCGGGTCTATGTGATTTTCGATCTGCCTACCACCGTGTCAATGATCAAACTGTGGAATTATGCAAAAACGCCCCATCGAGGGGTGAAGGAGTTTGGCGTAAGTACTTATTAGCTGGGTTTTTTGAGATAATTATGCTGGTTGGTAATTAGGCTGCCGGCAATTACCATTCGTCGCCGCCGTTTGATTTACTCCTCTCCGTCGCTACCTTAGACACCACTGCCTGGTCCTCAGATGCAGGGAAATTCGCCGTCCCATCGTGAATTCAAAACCCGCCTCGAGTGATTTGAATCATCACCCTGAAAAAAAAAAAAAAAACCGAAAGTGGCTTTTCTTTCATCTTGTCTTTTCCAGTCATAGTGGTTTAGGGAGTTCTACTCTGGGGCCGGGAGAGCCGGGGCCTCGGGGGCCAGAGGCGCAGAGTTGCCTCCCGGCTCGGCCACGTGGGCTAAAGGTATTTGAAGCCTCCCCATCCCCGTCTGGCCGAGGGTTGCAAAGATCTGACACCATAACGCGGGCCGGGCTAGCGCGCGAGGCTCGGAGCAGTGACCTGCTTTGCCCGAGGCCGCGGTGGGGGGGGGTCCCTCCCCCGGCCACACGGTGCAGCGCCTCCTCTGTCTGTCCAGCTCCTGGTGGACGACTTGCTTGTGTACAACGGGATCCTGGCCATGGTGGGCCACCTGGTGGGGGGCATCCTGCCCACGTGCGAGCCCACGCTGCCCTACCACACCATCCTCTTCACCGAGGACGCAGACGTGTGCCGCCAGGAGAAACGCACCGCCATCAGGTGCGCCCCAGGCCCGCCCCACGGCCTCCCCCGCCAGCCCTAACGGGGACGGACGGCAGGGGTCGAACCTTCCTTCCTCTCCCTCCCCCCCAGCAACCAGGTGGAGGATCAGGACGTCCAGATGATGAACGAAAACCAAATCATTACCAACTCGAAAAGGAAGCAGAGCGCGGTTGACCCAGGTCAGTGTCGCCTCTCGGCCCAGAGCGTAGCCCTCGGGAGTTAAGGCTGAACGGTCGGGAGCCAGCAGCCCCTGCCCACCCCTCAGACCCCTCCGCTCTGCCCAGGAGCCCACCTGGCGGCTGAGCTGGGGCTGTGGGGGCAGAACCCCAGGGGCAACGTGCTTCCCACGTCCCACAGGCGCCTGTGACCCGGTGTGGCTTCCTGGGAGGCAGGCCCTTGGGGCGCAGAGGGAAAAGGCCCCGAAGGGCAGACGTGCTGTATGGAGACGGCTAGGAAACCAGTGGGGGATGCAGGGGGCGAGGGCTTCCCAGAGGAGGTGCTGTTTGAGCTGCACCCTAAGAGATACGGGGAGCTGGCCAGGCAGAGGGGACAGCGTGGCAAAGGCCCGGAGGCGAGGCAGCAGAGTCGCTGCAGGGGAGGGGACGGGTCGGCCTGCGGGTGCTGGGCTCCGGGGCTGCAGGCGGTGGCCTGGGCCGGCCACCAGGACGGTCCGGACTTCACCCCCAGGGCGTGGGGCCGCCCTCGGTGACTGAGGCTGGGTAACGTCCACCCCTCTGTACTCTCCCCGACAGCACTGCGCCCCAAAACCTGCATAAGCGAGAAGGAGACAGTGCGACGGTGGCGGTGCTGACTGGCGGAGGAGGGAGAGCCGGGCCTCCTGACCAGAGCCGGGCTCTGTCACCGGCCCTGCCCAGCACCCGTGTCGCCCGCCCCCAGACCTCAGCCTCGGCAGCCTGGACTCCGGGGGCTGGAAGAAGGAGTCCCGTCGCGAAAGGGGACTCGCGTGGCACGGCCTTCCTCTGCCTTGCGGCTCGGGGGCTCCCTCCCGGGACACCCAGCTCGGTGCCCTCCCGCAGGACCCAGCAAAGCAGGGCCACACGCACTCACGCCTGTCCCTGCTCAGGCCCAGATGGTGGGGTGGCCGGGGAGGGCTTGCTCCCAGCACGGAGTGTGGCTGTCCCGGGCCCGGGGTCAGGCCTCAGACCCCAACAGCAAGGGGAGGGGTGCCAGCAGCTCCCCGCCCCCCATGTCCCTCCGTCATCCGGGGTTCGGTGCAGCTGGGTGAGGGGGTGGGGCAGTTCCCTGGTCCCCCGAAGGTCTAGCCAGGGCCGCTGCATCCCCCTCACTCATCCCAGGCAAGGAGGACGGATCCCCGGGGACGTGTGTGTCTCACTGGGAAGAAGAAGGGGGCCATGCCCACCCGCCATGCTGCCAGGCCCACGTGGGACCCGCGGGTGGACAGCTTCACGCCCCAGAAGGCTCCGGACGCAGGGCAGGCCGAGGACCAGGGCCACAACCCCCCCTCGGGCCCCAGAGCCCACCTCCCCTTCCCCTTGAACTCTGTCTGGGGGAGGGCGGCTGCATCCCTGTGGTCTCACCACCGGCTTCTCTCACTCGCCTCCCCCAGTCTCGCCCGTGCCGGGCGCCCTTGCCTGCGGGCAGCGAGGTGTCTGGTGCCCCCACCCCTTCCCCCCCTCCCGGCAGCTTCCCCGCGAGTTGGAAATGTGCCTTGCACCCCCAGCCGAGTAGAGCTCAGAACGCATCTATTTCCATCTATGTAACAAGCCCGGATCAGGGACCTAATTGGTTTCCCAGTGGTGGGTAATTTCTCGTTCCAAATATTAATCCGTTGTTTTCCTGGCGCCCAGCCCGGCCCCGCCGCAGCGCTGTACTCGAAGTACGTTCCTATGCAACCGAGAGCCCGGCAGATACTTTATGAGCTTTGCAGCTTCCGCGGAGCAGCTATGCAAATGCGCTTTTCATTTGGAGCAGGGGCCGATGCAAAGACAAGGAATTGTTTCTCCCGGAGAAGATCCATCAGTGCTGCAGCTCCCCTGCTCACCTCCCAGATGGGGCGGGTGCCCCCGAGGCCTGTGGGCTCCCAGGAGAGCCGAGGCTTGGGGGGAGTCGGGGGCCGATCAGGCCGGCGCTTAGGGACCAAAACAGGTGCCACGACTTTAAAGGCTGTCACGGCTTCCCGTCCCCACCTGAGGCTGGGGCCCGGGTCAGACTGTCGGGGGGATTGCTCGAGCAGCGCACACGCTCCCAGAATCTCCACTGATGTTTATAATAATTGTATGCACCATGCAATTTAGGAGGGGGAGGAAAAAAAAGCTGTACAGGCATTAACTCTAAAATAAATTTCTATTTTTTTCTCTTGCAAGATCAATAAAAGATGTTATTAAGAATCTGGTCTGACGTGCTGGGTTTGGGGTCAGACGGAGGGAGCCTGTGCCGCCTCCAGGAACTGAGGCTGGCTGAGTGACACGGGGCAAGTCCCCTCTCTGAGCCCCCCACCACCCCCCCCCCCCGTCTCCACCTGCAAATGGGGGCATGATCCTGGGTAGACGATACAAGCCCACACGTATGTAGTGGTTGTTTTGTGTCCGGCGCTCATTTAATCCACATAACAACCCCACGGGGTAGGCACTATGATGATCCTCCTTTTACAGATGAGAGAATTGAGGCACAGAGCGGTTGAGCGGCTTGCCCGAGATACACAGCTTTGGAAGCCATCAGTGCGCAAATCCTGGGGCAGCCCCAGGAGAGCTGAGGCGGGGTGAAATCCCCGGGTCGGTGGCCCTGCAGTTTCCCCGAGGCTTATGTGGATCCTTGAAGCCAAGCCCCCTACCCCCCCAATGTCAGACTCCTGGGCCGCCTCCTGTGGTTTCCGGCTCCCCTGCTTCCCTCAGAGGTGAGCCTTGGTTGGCGGCTCTTGGCATCTGGAGAGAGCCGCCCTCGGGGGGAAGAAGGCTCATTTGGGGGCCGGGTGTCTGGGCTACAGCTCAGGTGCCAGGGAGCGCATTGGTGCCGAGCAGGGGGCCCCTCAGAAACCCCACCCCTTCCCCTGACCAGCCCCCCACCCCACCGCCTGTCTCTGAGCTCCTGCCCAGACAGAGGGGCCCTGCCCTGCCCTGCCCTGCCCAGCCACCCGGTGTTGGAGAGCCTCCCCCTACTGGAGGGCACGCAAGCCCTTCCGGCACTCCTGTGGGGTGGGAGGCCCGGGGGCCCTGCTCTGACGTCGTCAGGGAGCAAAGCTGGCCCAGGAGGGTCCCCTTAACAGGGCAGTGCAGGCCCCGACTAGGGGGTGATCGCGTCTCAGCTCCAATGGTCCGGAGATGCCTTCAAGGACTTTACGAGAAGCCAGAAATCCAGGTGTTTTTATTTTTTTTTTAATGCGAAAATCCAACTTTTAAATGTTGGCTCAGCTTAACCAAGCACACGCCAAGCGAGCCGAACGGGTTACAAGCCTTGTGTAGCCCACCCTCCACCCCAGCCCCCTCCCTGCCTCAGGATGAAGGCCAGCGCCCCTTCCCTTCCGGGTCCCCCTGAAAGCCGCAGTCCCCCCTCCAAGACCGTGGCTCCCCGAAAGCCCCTCAGCTGGTTCCTCCCCGGGAGGTCCAAGGAGGGCGGGGATCATGCCTTCAGACCCCCCCGGGGCACAGAGGCAGGGGTTGGCCCGGTGACCTGTGCGTGCTGGAGGTGACAGTCCCCCCTCCCCCCCAGCATCCCTGGTGGGAGAACAGAGGCGAATCCTGGTCCCTGTTCAGCCCCGGGCAGAAGTTTCCACGAAGCTATCCCTGTGGGCTCCGGGCCACGCCCACACCCGGTCGTGGGTCACAGCTCTCGGCCGAGGCTGACAGGAGAGTTCCAGAAGAGCAGCGGGGGCTCCGGAGGAACCTCCCCGCAGGCCTCTGTCCCCACCTGCTTCTGTTTGTTCATTTGTCTCCGGACGGTTCCGGCCCTGGACCCACGACCTCGGAAGGACCCACGTGGTCCCCAGGAGACCACCGGGGCTATTTCCGCAGTCAGGAGGCGGAGCGTTTGCCGCGACATCCTGGGTCCCTCTCCAAGCCTCACCTCCCACCCCACCTAGAGTCCCTTTCTGAGGCCCCCGGACCCACTTGGCCTCTGAGCAAAACAGCGGAACGCCGTGTGGCGGCTCAGCCCGCCCGGGTCCGGTGGCTGTGCGGGGTCTGGGCCCCATTACTCACGGCCACTGGAGCCCGGGCACAGGCTCTCCGGGACACCACACCCCCACAGCCCCTCCGTGTCAGGCCCTGCCTGCTTCCCTCACCGCCGCGGCCCTGCAAGGCGCCAGAGCCCGCGCGGGTGACGGTGCCGTCGGGCCCGGCGGGGTGGGGGGGTGGGGTGCCGGGCCGCCTGGCCATCCAGAGGGTTCTCCTGGGGCCACGCAACTCAGGCCTCTGGGGTCCGGTCAGCAACAGGCCCAGGCCCGGGGCCAGAAGAGGCAGACGTGGCCTCCGTCCAACGGGTCACGTGTCCCCGTGTGCCGTGCGGCTCACTGCAGGCGCGTCCCTGGACCTCCGTGTGATGCGAGGCGTTCATGACACCACCGCCAGGCCCCCAGCCTCCGGGAAACTGCTCCGCTCACAGCCGCTGCCGGAGGCCGACCTCTGGCAGTCACCTTTCACGACACCACCACAAAAATACCAACTTCACCCCCCGCACCTCCGGCCTCCGTCGGCTTCCCTTCCCAGACAGCAGGGGGCCGGCAGTGCCTGTCTCGGGGAGCTCTGGGCACCTTAGAGCACCTCCCGGAGGGCAGACACACCGGCCGAGTCCCACGACTAAGCCCATTTGCCGGGTGTGCAAACTGAGGCTTTCGTAATGAAATCGTGTCGCTGGGGCTCAGGACTTCAAGGCCGCCCAGCACGGGGCCCGGGCTCCTCACCAGAGTCACTCAGCGCCACCTTCCACCTGACCTTCCAGACCTTCGGGACGATCTCCCGGCCTCAGCTGGTTGGTCCACGAGGGGCAATGGCCTTAGAGCAGAGGCGGATGTTTTAGCCCATCTCCTCCTCCCCTCCTCCCCCTCCTCCTCCCCCTCCTCCTCCCCCTTCCCCTCCCCCTCCCCCCCCCCCCCGCCTCCCCCTCCCCCCCCTCCCCCCCCCCTCCTCCCCCCCCTCCTCTGCCAGCTCCTGCCCCTGCTCTGTTCATTCTCTCCACCCCCCGGCCTCCTCTCCCCAACCCTCCCTGCCTACACCCCCCCCCCATGCCGCCCACACTCAGCCTGGAGGTTTCCAGGGGGATCAGGAGGGTCCGAGGACGGGGGGCTTGGGATGATGGCACTTCTCCCGCACCAGACCCCCTTCCTGACCCGTCCCGGTGGCCGCCCACTCCCCTGCCAGGCCTCTGGCATCAGCCCAGCCACCGGCCTCCCTTAAGGCAGAGGCTCAGACGGTGTCGGTCCACGACGAAATGTGGCCCCAAAAGCAATTACCCGGCTATGGCGGGCGGGGCTGTGTGGGGACAGGGCAGAGGTCCCGCGCCGGGATTTCCTGTCTGTCCATGCAGTAAATCCCCGCACGGCGGAGATTGGTTTTTCCTCATGACTGATGGTCCCCGGCCGGGCTGAGTTTGTCCTCAATCCTGCGGCGAGATCGTCCACCGGTGCGGCGGAGCGATTTGTTCACTGCCCACAGCCCTTGAGCGACGGGTGAGCGGAGCTAAGCTCCAGCCCCGCCCCGCCCCCCAAGCGTGTGCCTCGGGCCGCGTCTCCGGTGCTTTGGGGTCACGGATTTTTCTAATCCAGCCACTCAGAGGACACCTGTTCCTGAGTCCCGCCGCTGCCCCGTGCGGCCTACAGTGTCCCTGCCTGCACGGCGTCAAAGCCCAAACAGGAGCCGCAGAGAAAAGCCAGCCCAGCCCAGGCGGCCCTCGGGCCCTCACCCGTCCCCAGGCCACACTATGGCTACTTACCTCGTCCCCGGTGCCACCGCAGCCTAAGCCCCCACCATCTCCCACCAGGCCCTGCTGCAGTCCCCTCTCTGGTCACCCTGCCCCCGCCTTGCACCCCACCTCCCAGGCCTTCCCCACGCGCAACCAGGAGGAACTTGCCCAGATGCAGAGCTGACCGCGTCCTCCTCTGAAAAGCCTCCTGCCAGTGGCTCCCTGTGGCCTTCCAGGTGAAGGGCGCACTTTGTGCAGTAACCCACACGCCTCGAAGGCTCTGACCCCCGACGACCAACTGCTCCGCAGCAGACCTCGTGCCCTCAGCCTGAGCTGCAAGCGCTGTGTCCTGTCACAGCGCCGCACCCAGCATTCCTCTCAACCCCAGGGCCTTTGCACAGGCTCTGGCTTCTGCCCAAACTCCCTGGCGGCTTCCTTCCGTCCCTGCTGCAATGGCCCTTCCCGAGAGGCCCACCCTCAGGGCTCCAGCATAAACCAGGCCTCCCCTGGGGGTGCTTCCATAGCATTTCCCCCACTCGGAGGTGATACTTTTGTTGCTAGAACTATTTGAGTGGTCTCTGTCTCCTCACTGGAATAGAAACTCCACGAGGGTGAACATCAGGTCCTCCTGACTCACCGCGGCAGCTCCAGGGCGCCGTCATGCCTGGCGCATAGAAGCCGTTCAGCCGGTAGTTCCCGGATGAAGGGGGCCCACCGCAGGTCGGGGGTGGTCTCGGGATCCGAACTGACTCTACAGCCTCTGGTACTTTCCTCTGTCGCCACCTCCTCCAAGGGGATGAGCCTCCCCAGCATGACTTGTCCTCGGGCCTGGCACCGGGCACGTGCGGACACAGGGACGGGGCCAGACGCGTCCAGGCCCAGCGCACGCCTCGGGGCCGGCGGGCACACGCACGTACGGATGGGTGCCGAGCCGACCCCCTTGTACGGGTGCGCGTACAAAGCGCTGACTCAAGCTTGTACGATGCTGGTGTGTGCACGTGAGCCCAGGGGGCGTGGACCCAGCGACGCGGGGCGCGGGCATCCAGAGCAGACGGCTACGTGCTCATCCGGGCACTTCCCGCCTTCAAACACGCCCCCCCCCCCGGTCCTCCCTCCCCGCCCCCCCCCCCCCAGGTTCAGGCAGACGGTGGCATTTGCCCCCTGTGTGAACACAACCCTCCCAGTAACTCTGGGTAGGGACCCACTGGGACCACGCATCCGGCCCGCCTGCAAATGCTTCCTTTTATCTCACCAGCAGGCTTCCTGCTGCAGGCTCCACGGGCCTGAAAGACAGCTCATTCTTCCCTCCTTCCCAACAGGTGCCCAGACAGAGAGGAGGACTTGAAGCCAGAGTGGCCCCGTGAGGCTCCTGGCCCACGCAGGGGGTAAGAAAGGCCTTGGCTTGAGCCGTCCGCACACCATAATCACAAACTACTTGCACGATTATTTATTGAATATTTTTCTTCAAGCCAGCTCTGTCTTTTTTACTTAAATGCCTATTTTTGGTTTCATCCTAAGCAACAGCGTCTGTGAGATCGTGACACCGATGTGCCCGTTACACGTTTTTTCCTAATACACATGTACATGAACACAACTATTAAAATAGGTTGAAATTTTGCCTACGTGTCAATTCAGATCATCTCCTGGACGTCTGTGGTCCGGCCGCCAAGGACAGAAGGACCTCGGGTGAGAAGGAAGGACCCCAAGATGCCGGGTGCCCTGGGGGCCCAGCCCCACGGCTACAAGTGGTGTCTCCTTGCCCAGAGGCCAAAGCCCCAACTCCTTGCCCTGACGTTCAAGACCTTTGTAAGGGGACCCGATGTCCCACCCAGAGCCATTTCCCTGAGAGCCCCACACAGTAGGTCTGCAATATTTGCCAAATGAATGGAAAATGGATTAATGAATGGCCCGCGTGATTAGTCAACGCATGCATAATGAATGAGCACACACCTCCGCGGGTGTCTGCTGGGATCTGAGACTCAACTGAACCCGCGCCTGACCCAAGCCCCAAATCTGAGAGTCTTTGCCAACTTTCCCTTCCTCCCACAGCAGTCTGTTGATTTCTGCCCCCTGACTAGCTCCTGAATCCGCCCTCATGGTCCCATCCCTTGGGGCCACCGTGCAAGCCAGACCACCCTCTTCCCTCCCCTCGAACATCGTAGGATAAGGGGGGGGGTGCGGTGCTCAGGAAGCACCAAGCTTCCTAAGGAGGCTCCGTGTCCTTCTGCCTGGCTCCCCTGTCCTCCTCACACCCCGTGGCTCTCCCTTCTCTCCACACCTGCCGTCTAGACTGTTATAAAGTTCCTAGAACATTCCAGCTTTCTTCCTCTCCATGGAATGGATGTCTTGCCTACCTGACATCTAGACAACCTTCTTTTTCCCAAAGGAGCCCTCCTGACCACCATCTCCTCCTCCCTCCCCCAGCAGGTGCTGCCTTTGGCACCCCCCCCAGCCCCTAACTTTCCCTCATCGAGAAAAGAGCAAACACTAACAAAGCACTCACTATATGCCTGGCTCTGTTCACGTGTGCTTCACGTGTATTAGCTCACTTAACCCTCATGACAGCTCTAAGAGGTAGGTATGATGATTATCCCCATGTGCCCATGGGGAGGAGGCACAGAGAGGTTAGGTCACTCGCTTAAGGTCTCACGTGGAGGAGCTGGAATCTAAACCCAGGCTGCCTCGGGGCGCCGGGGGGCTCAGTCGGTTAAGCGTCCGACTTCCGCCTAGGACACGATCTTGCCGTGATGAGTTCGAGCCCCACATCAGGCTCTGTGCTGACAGCTCAGAGCCCGGAGCCTGTTTCAGATTCTGTCTCCCTCTCTCTCTGCCCCTTCCCCACTCTCACTCTGTCTCTCTCTCAAAAATAAATAAACATTAAAAAAAAATTGTTGGGGCGCCTGGGTGGCTCAGTCGGTTAAGCGGCCGACTTCGGCTCGGGTCGTGATCTCGCGGTCCATGAGTTCGAGCCCCGCGTCGGGCCCTGTGCTGACAGCTCAGAGCCTGGAGCCTGTTTCAGATTCTGTGTCTCCCTCTCTCTGACCCTCCCCTGTTCATGGTCTGTCTCTCCCTGTCTCAAAAATAAATAAAACGTTAAAAATTTTTAAAAATAAATAAATAAAAAAAATTGTTTTTAACCCAGGCTGCCTGGCCCTGGAGTCGGGCACCACAACACCACCGAACAATAACCATCTGTCTGGTTATCTGTCATGCCCACCCGTGAGGACAGACACCCTG